ATATGTGTATCACTTCTGAGGCCCCGGATAACCCTCTTGGGATTAGTGAAAGCACAGGGGTTCGAATCACTGTTTGGACTCTTGTGTATTTTATGTAATGAGTGTGGCGGTAAACTTTTCTAAAATATTCAATTCCTCACCGATTTCGTTTGAAATTTGAAATATGTGTTAATCATGACATATAAAAACAATACAGGATTGCAAAAGTCTAGATTTGTATTTGTTTAAAATGTTATATTATTGTGATTCGAACCCCTGTGAGTGAAAGTCTCTGAATCGGAGCCAGTGACCTTATGGCGAGAACCTCATGCTTTGAGACCGGTCTGCTCCAGGTTCGAATTGATCATCTGGAATTTCTTCAATGCGATTTTTATACAACATTGGGTATACTCTCCCCTTCGTCGCTGCACCCCACGCACAAAATATGGGCATTTTATGATTGCTTCAGTCGCTGTCACACCATGTGTGTGGTGACCCTGGAACAGAGGACTCCATAGTATCAAATGCTTCTATACCAAAACGATGATCGGGTGGTTATTATGATGGGTGCTAGTGCCTTAAATGGGTGGGTCGTTGTTCATGATGTTACCCACTGGTCTGCCTGGTCCAACGGTATTACTGGTTCCGGGGTATTATATAGAATTGGCCCCTGTACCCGTGTTTGTTGTTGACAGTAGACCCTCAGAGGTCCTGAATTGGAAGCTCCAGTTTACTGACAGCCGTACAACCCACAAATATGTCATATAAAGTCTTAATATTTCTGTTGTTACATTTTATAGGAAAGCTGAAATCATAAATGTATTGAGCAAAACGCTTGTTCAAGACAAACTTGGGTGTGGCTCTTAACATGAGTTTTCTATAAGTAACAATTCGAAAAAAGTACATATTATTTCATACATAGATCAATCTATCTAACATATCACACGATGTACACTCTCACACATGTTAAGGAGGAAGTTTTTACGCAGGCTTGCCTCGGATTACAAAGGCAACAACTCGCAGTCAAGAATAAATATTGAAACTCCCTCGACAAGGCACGATATTATTCTATAAGCATATGCAGCTCAACAGTTTAAAAACTGGGACTATATTATGAATGAAAGAAATAGTCACGATCGCGATAGTAAGTATGTCACATTGACTCAACGTGTCTTAAGGTAGATCTAAGTGGATCAATGTGTGTGCGTGAGTCTCCTGCCACATTTATTGGAAATATATAGAAGATAAATCTAGCTAATGTATCCCATTTTTCATTCGATCATATCTGTGATGTTATTATTTGATGTTATTAACACATGATGTGTAAATATCCTAATCAATACATTGCCATGACGTTGAGCAAGTAAATTCCATATCCCTTTTAGACTGAGATGGTAATATTAACACATATTGCACGCACATGTGTTTTAAAGATATTGTTTATACCTTTAAAGATGGGTTGTTTTGAGAGTATGGGATGGTTAGGGGTATAATCTGTTACCGAAAATGCCTGAACATATATTTGCCGTCAAAACCAAAATCGCCACTGGACACGACATCTCTTTTGCGAAAAATATATAAAATTCATGTGTATGTGTAATCTTTGTGTAACTCTGCGTCGCCATTGTCCTGACCACCAACAGAAGGAGTGTAATGTCATTGCAACTTAGGACACGACAGGCATGTCAAGGCCATGCAGGGAATGTGTTGCAAGACTCGCGACATGTGAGCGGGAAGTGGCTGCTCTTCAGAGAGAGAGAGAGAGAGAGAGAGAGAGAGAGAGAGAGAGAGAGAGAGAGGAGAGAGAGAGAGAGAGAGAGAGATTTCCTTATTTAATGGGGTAACAAATTTGAATTTGGGGTACAAAAACAACCATAATTACGTAATTCTTGTTATTACTCATCCTTATGATATATAGAGCTGTAATGACAAAGTGGTAGAGTGGTAGTAGTTGTATATTCATTTGTGGCACTCTCCTTCCCAGAGTTCCATGCAACCAGCATAATTTTATGCTACTATTGCTAGGTCATCACTGCGCCAGAGTGTGCATTTGTAGATCCTGCCATCACCATCTTAGACACTACACCACAGTTAACATGGACACAGTAAACTGACTCCAAACTGACTTCTACTGTTTTATCTTTGAAAATGAACGGTACAAGGCTGGGCCCCTATTCTCGAAAGGATCCTAGCCCTAGGATATCCTAACTTTGATCCTAGGGTCTAGGATAGGTGTCCTACCTTATTCTCGAAAGTATCCTAGCGCTAGGATATCCTAACTTAGGACAAATACTAGGATAGGTTCTGACTGGTCCTAAGTCTATCTTAGTGGAAATCAACATGGTGTGGTTCTTGTTTGTTCACCAATTTTGACGTTGTCAAACAAAATATCTCGCCTAAATTACATTTGAATTTACAAGAGCACACAGTTTTGATGTGTTACGAAGAGTTTTTGAGTTTATAGTATCAATTTATCGGTAATGAATAGACACACTTGTTGCGATGCACATATTCTTTATATCTACAAAAGAGATTTGTTCAGTTCTTACCTATTCTCGGCCTTTTTAATCACAACATTGCTCTTTCCAGTCACATTGCCGTGAAATGTCAATGTCAAGGCCAACTTGATAGGGGAAGTAACTCCGATCCTGTTTATTTCCTAGGTGAATTTCAGTTTGTGAGATGATGCATAATGAGAGTTCAAATGATGCTTTTCATAAAAAACAAATACAATGAAAATATTTTTTGCACATATCTTTAATATCCTTATTGTTTTTTGGCAGACTTTCAAATGAAATGTTATCGCCTTGTCAAAAAATGAATTTTCAAAAACTTCAAAACTACTATATAATGTGATGAAAATATCGAATAATTACTTCTAGATCTACCAAGTCCATCAAAAGCTGAATTTCCTCATATTATGTGTTTTTTATGAAATGAATCATGGGTAATATTTAGGGGAATCCCCAACTTAATGAGGGTTTTTCTATCTCACCTACTGAAAAGCTCGCTATCCTAGCTAGGATAAGCAGCACAAGTTAGGACAGGGATAGGATCGTTTCGAGAATGGGTCTTATCATAACGGTAGGATGTCCTAACTTCTGTCTTATTAGGATCTGTCTTAGCTGGGATACTTTCGAGAATAGGGGCCTATGACGTCAGCACTGACACATTTTGGCGTCATGAAACATTACGTCACAATGCTCTCTGTTGTGCGTCACAATATTATTTGCTTTATGGTAACACTATCATGCTGATAAATATATGATAAACAGCAAATGAACAAATAAATGCACTTTCTCGCTTCTTACTAGCCAAAACGTGAGAGACCCTAATATTACTGACGGATTGCCGGTGTGACGTTAAACAGTAACTCATCCCAAATGTCGCTTTCTTTGTTGGTTGAACGAGAAACGTAGCCGCTAGATTGGAAACAAAGCATGCCCCTGCGTAGTGATTCCGTGTTTCTCCCTTTAACTAAAAAAATATTCATTAAATTCGAGAGAAACTACCCGCGAGAATCACGAACTCATAGGCTACGGAGATTTTGATAAGGCGCTAGGTCACGAAGGTCGAATCTATTACTGTGGCGTCCTTTTCAATCGTGACGTCAGTGAATCAAATGGCAACTTTGTGATTAGTCTGCATGACTATCAGTAATCATTTAAAATGAAAGGAAATAATCACACATTTCTGTTACGGCATGAACCGTTTATATTTGTTTACAATAAACACACTTCCTTCGACTTTACGTTTTGCATCTCGTACAACTACATATATACAAGCAGTTGTTAAGTATCAATCTCTCACTTGTTCTGGATCTAGATATATAGATATAGCAGATATTTCATACTTCATTGTGCAGGGTTCTACACGTGCATATGGTACATACCAGCCAACTTCCACGCCTTTGTCTTCAGGCTCAAGCATGTTATTAATCATGTCAGGCTCTGGGCCACAACTGATAAATCTTACGCCAAAACTGATAAATCTCACGACAAACTGATAAATCTCACGCCAAAACTGATAAATCTCACGCCAAAACTGGACAAAACTGATAATCTCACGACAAAAATGATAAATCTCACGACAAAAATGGACAAAACTGATAAATCTCACGACAAAACTGATAAATCTCACGACAATTGATAAATGTCACGACAAAACTGATAAATCTCGTGACAAAAAACCTGATAAATCTCACGACAAACTGATAAATCTCGTGACAAAACTGATCAATCTCACGACAAAACTGATCAATCTCACGCCAAACTGGGTTCATAAGTTATGTCTAGTTATTTTCTTTTGATCACTTAAATTAACATCAAACAAATTGGTCTCAATGCATCGTTTTCAGTGACTTTTCTGAGAAAGGAATTTGCAATTGTGCGTTGGCTTGAGGGTACACGGTTATCCAGCTGAACTGATTTTGCCATACGTTAATACTATTTTTTAATTCCGGTTTAGTTGTTTTTCATGTAACTTGTTCAAGTCAATAATGTTGTACGGTGGTGCTAATTTGTTATGTTTGGAAATGAATGTGGTGCGACAACATCCCCGGGGCGCCTGACGTTTTTGAGACCAATCTTCTTGTGTGCCTGATGTACCGTTTACAAACCCGCGAATCTGTGTTTGTAACATCCGCGTTATTATTTTGTATTTACTTCAGATTTACCAGAATCTCCCATGGACTGCCTACGTCATAGGGCAATCCTGACGTCAGAGGCAGTGCTTGGTGCCGATATAAATATTGTATGGAACCCTGTTCAGACAATTCCCCGTCTCGCGAATTGTGCTTTCATTTCTGATAAGATGGAATATACCATTTGAATTTGTGTTGATGTACTGCAACACTTGTTAATGTAAGCATTACGCAAGTACTGACTAGCAGTAGAAGTGTACTACATGACCAGGATTGATTAGCGTTGCATAAATGTTCCGCACTGTGGACTGCTAATAAACGATATACGGTCACAGCTGAACGCAAATATTAGCCTCATATCGCGTCTGTCTTTGTTTGTATATAGCTGCCTACACTATGCGTGAGCAATACTACATCGTCAAGACCCGTAATCAAACAGTACATGAGTTTAGAGGAAAGATGAACAAGTGCTTGCGTTCTCCGTTTCGTAGGGAATGTGTCTGTATTGATCTTCCATATGGCTTTCGATAACAATCAGTGCGCATGACAGTCGGCTGCAGTGCGGAAGCGCTAAAAACGTGAGGTAAGTTCACCTCAAGGTTGTTTTGGTATTCGTGGTGTTCTTTGGACGCCTATACTCCAAACAGGGTGTTCTCATTCACCCACCCGAAACACAGGACTTCGGTGAAGACATTTGGTTACAAGGTAATCACCGATCGCGAAATGTATTTTTTTTCACTCCCGAAAGACATCGACCTTCGTAAAAAATCGAATATTGTTATTTTCCAATGCCGACCTTCCATTGACTCGCTCGTTCGAGTTCAGTTTAGGTACAGGGAGTGTATGTTGTATTGACGTGTATTTCTTTTGTACATGCTTGTTTGGCAGGGATTTTTCTGTTGAACTGGTATAAATTAGCAATTCCATACGTTCAGACATAAGTGTTAACAGCACGCGGACCTCTCCGGCCCACTCATTCCGCGGGTGATCGCCGTGGCGAAGGTTCGTGATGACCCAGCTACCCGCCTGGCTTTGTGTTTACCAACAGCTGATCGGAGCGCGACAGAAGTTTTACATTCACGCTTCACTGTCAGAATAATTTGTGCGTTTTTAGAGTCTTGAATTATTCACAGGCTCTGTGAAATGAATATCCATGGTATAAACTATATTTTCATGTCCGGATTTGACAGGTGACGGTGACCTTTTCCATTCATGCCAGGTGTGTACATGTCGTCAGTGTTTTGATTCGTGATGATGAAATACCTTATAGGCTTAGGAAAAATGTAAACTCCATGAATGACTTTTTTTGGTTAGGTTATTGTTGAAGATGTATATACAATAGTCTTGTACTGTGGGTGTCATAATCCTTTGTTATTTAGGATAAGACTTTTAAAATAAATGGTTTACTCATAAGTCTAACCCTAAAATATAAAAAAAATAATGGGAAAGATTTCCGCCCGTAACCCCGGTTTTTTATCATTCTATGCCTAAGATTTATAGTAAGAATACATGGATTTTTTTTAGAAAGCCTACCGTAACCGGAACCTTAATCCTAACATAGCCTACCGTAACCCTAAACCTAAACCTAACATAATGCTAAATATAAACCCTTAACCTAAACCCTAACCCCTGAAATAATCAGAATAAACAGAATACATTTCAAGCGGGGATTACGGGCGGAACTCTTACCAAATAATGTCCATGATGTACTCAAAATCATGATAGGACATTCCAAGAATATACTTCAAAGCAAATTTTGTGTATCTGTTTTGGGATTTATTACAGTAGAAAATAATATCAATATTATTCAATATTAATCAATTGTCTATTCAAGAAAAAAATATTTTTTTTAAAATATTTATTTGAAAATGCAAGGTTTCCACTTGGTAACAGTTATGTTTGTATTTGTTTCAAATAAATCATCATTTTTATTATTCCAAACAGGGTAAAATCTCTGGAAAGCAGCAGTATGCAAGTGTGTCTGTAATGTTTTGATCCACTGGAATTGAACAGAAATCATTGTTCCTGTTTGAAGTAGTATGATGACGTAATTGTGAAACATTTTTTGTCTTGTCCCGGAATAACCAGATACACCTGAGAAACAGTAAACTCTGTGACATCTCCAAGCAGCAGGGTTTTTACCAGCTGTGATCACTTTCTACAAGCAGCAGGGTCGCTGTGATCACTTTGGTGTCATCTTTACATATAATGTTATTGAATAAGCCTTTCGATGTTGAGAGTTTTCAATATTTGTTTACTAATATTACCAGCATTGGAACTTTTTACAGCAAGGATCAGTTTATGAACCATGTGTATTTTCAACATGTTTTTCTGTTTCAAGTTAAGTCATGGAACTAAAGAATCATAGTAAGGAAAAAATGTACATATATTGTTTTTTATCCCACCCGGCATGTAATGCGGGGGGATATAGTCGTCGCCTCGTCCGTCCGTCCGTAATCATTTTGTTTCCGGAGCATAACTCAAAGACCGTTCGATATTTTTCAACAAAACTTGGTAGATATATCAAACAGAACCTTAAGTGGTGCCTTTTGCTATTTGCAGATTTTGGGCATTTTTATTTTTCCCGGTTTCCATGAAAACGTTTCGGACTTAGTCCCAAAAGGGAGGGGTGGGCTTCGTTTCCGAAGCATAACTCAAGAACCATTCTATAGTTTTCAACAAAACTTGGTAGATATATCAAACAGAACCTTAAGTGGTGCCTTTTGCTATTTGCAGATTTTGGGCATTTTTATTTTTCCCGGTTTCCATGAAAACGTTTCGGACTTAGTCCCAAAAGGGAGGGGTGGGCTTCGTTTCCGAAGCATAACTCAAGAACCATTCTATAGTTTTCAACAAAACTTGGTAGATATACCAAACAGATCCTAAAGTTGTGCCTTTTGCTAATTGCAGATTTTTGGCATTTGTATTTTTCCCAGTTTCCATGGAAACGCTTCGGACTTGGTCTCAAAAAGGAGAGATTTGTTTTGTCAATATTTTTCAAAAAAACTTGGTAGATAATATCAATCAGAACCTTAAGTGGTGTTTGCAGATTTTTGTCATATTTATTTTTCTTGGTTTCAAACAAGTTGAACTTAATCTCAAAAGGGAGGGGTGACATTCGTTTCCAGAACACAACTAGAAAACCGTTTAATAATTTTCAACAGAACTTGGCAGATATGTGAGGCAGATCCCAAAGTGGTGCCTTTTGCTATTTGCTGTTTTTTGTCATTTTTATTTTTCTTGGTTTCCATGGAAATGATGTGGACTTAATCTCAAAACGGAGGGGTGTGTTTTGTTTCCGGATCACAACTCGAAAACCGTTCAATATCTTTCTACAAGACTTTACATATATATCAAACAGATCTTGAAGTATTGCCTTTTGCTATTTGCAGATTTTTGGCATTTTTATTTTTTATGATTTCCTTGGAAACGATTCGGACTTAGTCCCAAAAAATCAAGTTGGACTTTAAGTAACTGTCAGTTGATTTGTTCTTTCAAATTTATGGGGGCCAGGGGGATTTGTCATCTTCTGAGGGCTCTTTGTTTGATGCAGTTATTTCTATTAATAGGACCAGGACTGCAATATAGTAGGCATTCAGTCTTGACTTGACACACAATCAGCGTCACCAGTTGAATACTGCCTGTGGTGGGACATTTTTGTAACAAATTAAGTTTACGATGACAAGATGGATTGGAGTTGTGTTATGGGCCTGATAAACTTTCATGTCTCCAAGGAAATGAATATTCATTTAATCATAATTCCTAGATGATACAAATTACAAGAACATGTTGTTCCTATGGAGTGAGTGAGTGAGTTTAGTTTTACGCTGCACTCAGCAATATTCCAGCTATATGGCGGCAGTCTGTAAATAATCTAGTCTGGACCAGACAATCCAATGAACAACAGCATTAGCATCAATGTGTGCAATTGGGAACCGATGGCATGTGTCAACCAAGTCTGCGAGTCTGACCAGCCGATCCCGTTAGTCGCCTCTTACGACAAGCATGGGTTACTGAAGATCAATGTCCCTATGGAACATACATCTCTCCAAGGAATTTCTGGGGTTTGTGTTACTCATAGTTTAAGGTGCTGCATATAGTTGTGTTACTTTGTAATGTCATAAATAGTCTGAATGTGGGTTTGGATCTCAAATTTCCCTTGATTATGTCTCGGTTTGTCAGCAGCAGACCCGTGCTCATGGGTCTTACCAAACCGTAAAACTAAACTTTCTTGTATTATTTTCATTGAGAAATATGGTAGACATATTGCCCCATTTTATTATAAACAAGTCAAGTGATATAAACATACTCCTTCAGTATAGTCAGATTTGTCTCCAGCTTGTGTCAAGTTTGAAAATTCACATTTTCACTAACATTGGACATATATTTCTGCAGAAATGTAGATCAGTACAACAATGCTTTTCTTGAACAATGGAAACTCAGATAAACAGGAAACAAAGAGAATGTGATATGAGAGCAGCAATGTTGGTGATGGGCTGATAATGAGATTAACTTGTTCACTCAGACTGTACACCATGGTAAAACAGCCTGTTTACTTACTATAATTGACAGCATTTTCTTTATTGATTTTGGTAATAAGCTAAGTGGCCATATCGCATGGAAAGAGAGAGTTTATGAACCAAGGGGGATTGGAATTCTCTCTGGAACATAGAATGTGCTTGACAGATGCAGAAACTTATATTCTTCACATCAACTTGAAACCCACATATCTGACTTCGCAACAAGGGGAATCTCTGTGAGTTTTGTCGTATTCATTTTATTGAACTGAAATTCAAACTAAAGAGACTTTTGTTTTGATTTTTAATTGTTTTGTGTTAAGCAGGGAAAGAAACCTTTCAATATTTCCCACCAGACAACAGGACCAGTGAGTGGACAATAATTAGTGGTCCTGTCTGTGCTTCACTGATCCAAAATAACAGTCGTAGATTTGCTTAACTGTCCATACAAAATTCACTGGCCACCAGGACCACTGCAATTTGCAAACTTGTCATTTAGTGGTCCTGATGAATTTTTACTAGCCAGGGACCACAGGACCAGTGTAAATTTCACACATTGGTAGTGCTAGCTTAAGTTAAATTTTCTTATTTTGTTAAGTGTGGGAACAAGAATTAAAATAGTAAGTTATCTCCCTTGCCTCGGGAAAAAGAGGTAGTGTGCGTGCGTGTGTGGGGGTGCATGCGTGCACATATGTGCATGTGTGTGTAGATTAATAAAATACACATGTAATGTTTTCAGTGTTCAAATGTAACGGATTCTCTGAAACCTTAATTATCATTTGCATTGTTAATGACATCAATTATGGGCTATGACTGATATATGAGCAGATAAAGGACATAGAAGGAGCTGATGAGACCATGTGAGAATGTTGAAGGAATATTTATTAACACATTAAAGTGATGGTGTCAGTTTTATAATTACAAAACCCATTTAACCTATATCTATATGAGCAGTGAGAAACAACTGGGTCAGTTCCGACTAGGTCAGTAACATGTGACCCATTCTTGTCCAGAGGAGAAATATCCTGTCAGATAGAGATACAGTTGCAAGGTGTGGCCACTCACC